AGTGGCTTAGCCACTTCATTCGCCAGTTCCCTCAGGACCTATGGATGCATCCATTAGGTACCAAGGACTCATGGACCTTCAGGTTCCTTAGATGGTCTCAAACCTGATCTCCTCCTACAGTGGGCGGTTATTCATTCTCCCAGTCCCTGCCTTTGCCTTCTGCGACTTGGGCAGTGTGGCTGGAGCACTTGCTGGTGAAGACTGAGGCAAAAAAGTCATTGAGTACCTTAGCCATCTCCATGTCCTGGGTAACCGTAACCAGGTCTCCTGTTTCCTTCTGGAGAGGGCCCTCATTTTCCCTAGTCTTCCCTTTATCACCGACATACCTATAGAAGCGTTTCTTGTTGCTCTTGCTGTCCCTGGCCACATTTAATTCTATTGGGGCTTTAGCTTTCCTAACCTGATCCCTGGCTGGGATACACAGAACATTTCACTATTCTGGACTTATTTCTTTGCAGTGGTCAAGATCTGGGAGAAATGATACCCTGACACAGACAAAATACCACTAGTTCTACTTCCTCTCCCCTTTCCCCCATAAAACTACTCTTATGAAAATTCGTATGTGACAAACTTTGGCTGAATATTCTTTACAGTTCTTGGACAAAGCACCCGTAATACCATTATCTTCTTACTGTTAAGTAATATTGAGCTTGTCCCAGTAGTTTTTGATACTTTTTTTCATAGTATTTGTATACTTGAGCAGCACCTTTCTATTAGTGACTTTTTACAGTAGCAACTGTTGTTCCCTAAAAATAGAAGGTCTATTAAAATGTATTTTTAATATTTAAAAAAACCACCAACAACATAATCTGGTTCTATTTAGTTATGCAAAATATGCACCTTTACATGCAACAGAATATTGGTTCTAATAACATCACTGTAATGGTTCACAAGCTTTTTTTACCCAACAAGCCTCAGATAGTAAGGAAAAAAAGTCTGATGTTTAGTCATCTCTGTAAAGATGAAAAAAAAGCATTTAACACATGTCCGGGGTTCAGCTGGGATGGATAGAGTTAATTTTTGCAGGAACCTGGGAGGTAAGGGACATAGCCGGGGCAGCTGACCTGAACTAGCCAAGGAGCTATTCCATACCATGTGCCATCATGCTCAGTACATAAATGGGGAGTGGGCTGGGGGGAGTTCTCTCGACTTTTGGTGGGGCAAGTGGCGGAGTGTCGGGTTCCAGGTGGTGAGCAGTTGCACTGTGCATCACTCTTTTTGTATACTCTTTCATTAGTACCGTTGTTGTTGCTGTAACCTTTTTTTTTGTGTTGTCCCAGTAAACTGCCTTTATCTCAGCCCTCGAGGTTCCAGTTTTTTTTCTTTCCTCTCTCCTCCATCTCCTCCCTGTCCCACTGGAGGGGGGTGGGAGGAGTGAGCGAGCGGCTGTTGGGCTGAAACCACAACAACACATTATACAACAGGGTAACTAGCCAATATTTATTCCCTTACTCAAACTCGAATTTTATTATCAGCTGCTCTTGTTCAGTTGGGCAGGGCATAACCAAAGACTGTGGAAGGCTTAACCTGCCTCTCAATTATGGTAGTTCAATGATAAATGCAAAGTTTTAATTCCTATTAAATTGTGCATCAAGCAGAAGATCCATAAGATGCTTTGAAATGTGAATTTAACCTGTCAACATAACTATTCTTCTGCATACTTTGGTATGAATTCTTCAGTATGGCACAGCTCCAAACTTTCTAAAAGATGTTATGAACTACACATACTTATCTAGGACTCCTTCCTTTAGAAAGGCTCTAGTCATGATCTGCAGCACTGTCTCCAGGGCAGTTCGAAGATAAATCTTCAGAGTCTACAGCATAAGCAGAGAAAAAGTGAGTAATTCCAGGTCAAAGGAGGGAAAAAAAAAGTTGCTAGAATTATTTGAAGAATCCATGTAAAGCAGATTAAATAGAATTCAAGAAGGTTTGCAAGTTATTAATTCCAAACTTTGCTTTAAAAAAGTGAACACCAATTCTACCCACTTTGGTGCAGTGAAACTGGATAGTGTTCTGTTTCAGAAACACCTGCAACCTTTCACAGCTTTTTATGGTACTAGTTTTAATATCTGAATTTTGTTTTCTCAAAACAAAATTAATACGAATACCATTTCAAATAAATTCCAGTATTGTTGGTTGTTGGGGGTTTTTTTGTACATGTAAACATCTAAAAATTGGTTTATAATCAAAATGTGCAAAATTTTGTGCAAAAACAGCAGCCTGGAAGGAAAACTTGCTATGTAGATCTAACAGACTGTAGTAAGAGAAACATAAAGGATGTATTGTACTGTTTGAGTCTAGCTGCATAAGCAAAGTAAAACACAAGACAGGTTTACTCTCACCTTCATAGGTTGTTCCACACCAAATGCAGTAGAAGTGTTCTTCTCTCAAATAGGCAGTCAGGATGTGTAGCTTTTCTGATACCTAGAGATATGTACAGGTATGCAATGATCTGGGGCTCATGTGACATAAAACAGTTTGAGCTACTAGCTTTGCTAAAATAGATTGTTTAACCTTTTGCTATGAAAAAACTACACAATACTGTAGCTCAGTAAGGCATGAAGTTTCCCAAATTTGTAGCATAGGGCACAGGAATTCATGATCTCTGGCAAGTTAATGGCTGTTGTTTGCTCATCCTTCTTTCCGGCTAAGCAACCTGTACTGAAAAGAGAGCTAAAAATATTACCTAGCTACCTTAATTCAAGTATATGATATTTTTAGTGGAATTTTTCACACCTAATCTCTGCAACACAAACACATAAGGCTAACAACAGCTGTGGAATCTAGTTCTCAAAAAAACGTGAATTTTCAGTGTCCATCTTGAGATAATCTGTGAAGCATTTTCAGAAATTACTTAGTGATTCTAAAATTCAGCCTCAGACATGAGATGAGGCATCCCAAATTAAAACTCAAAAGCAAATAACTTTGATCAAACATGTGATCTTGCGTATCTTGGCTAAGACACAAAAATGTTTAGAATTTAATTTCTAGGCTACTTTTTCCAAAGATCAGCTTCAAAACAGATGAGCAATAATCAGTGGTTTAATGTTTTATATTTTATGGTGTAACTGCTATAAAAATCACTGCTTTAAGATTGCTAAGAGGCCATTCACTACAGCTTGGAAAATGACAGGTATACATATATCCTTTATACATGTGTGTATGTATACATACATACTTTTAAAAGGAATATTAAATTTAATTCTGAATCAAGCCATTAATTTAGTTACAGAGCTTACGCTTCTGTCTGAGCTTGTGCATTCATCTTCCTCGTCTTCCTCATCCTTCTTGTCTTCCTCTTCAGGTTCTAGCCAAAACCAAGTCTCCTTGGGAACATCAATATCCTTAAATAATGAAGGATTTAAATGAAAATTATCTGTCTTTGTAGGTTTTCTTGTAAGATGCTGGATAGAAACAATTTCTAATAGGTGAGATGTTAGGTTTTAAAACTTTCCTGTGTAGTATAACCAAGAATAACTAAAGCTGTAGTGGGAAACTAAGTTCAGTGGTCCCCAAGAAGGATTATTCACTTTTTTTGAAACAAGTAAATGCATGCTGACATTAGGTTCTATTCCATATATATTCAGTATGTTTAAGGCTACACAGCAACATAATCTCACACCAAGGCTGTGAAGAGATACCCTTTTTATCAGTTGAAGACATACTGCCCCAAGTTATTTTACCAAGAGATCACACAGTGATTCCTAATCCACCTCAGGTAAAGTTAAAGGAAGAAGAGTCAACAAAGATGATCTAAGCTAATTCAGCCAACTTTGAAGCAGATTAAGGAGCATCAAACAATCTCAGTAGAACTTGTGGGGTGGTATTAACGTCTAACAGGTTAATAGAGAAAAGAAAAATACCTGAAGTTTTCAAGCGGCAAAAATCTATAGTAGTTGACTGCTATTACCCATGTTACTCCTTGCAGGTGGAAGATACTTTGTTTGGGGTTTGTTTTTTTGTTTAAACCCTTCTTTGGTGAACCTGTTGATTCCATCAATGATGATCCCCATCCTTGGAGATACTCAAGAGCTGTCTGGATATGGTCCTGGACAACCTGCTTTAGGTACCCCTGCTTGAGCAGGAAGGTTGGACAAGATGACCTTCAGAGTCCCTTCCAATGTCAGGCATTCTGTGATGATGCTGCTCCCTCACTTGAGGCAAAAAGCACTATCATTTAGGACAACCTGACAGTGTCTACTGAAAGATATGCAAACAGCTAAAAAGTAACCACAAGAATGCAGGAGCAAAACCAGGTAAGCTCTGATGACTCAAATTAACACAGGGCCTCACATAAGTTACCATGAGGTTGGTGTACACCTTCAAATACTTTAACAGTGCAAGCATATATCTTGAATCATTTTAAGAGGACTGAAGTGTTGCCAAACATCAAGGCTAGTAATCCCCACAATTTCAGAGAACTTCCAAGAATTGAATCATTACTTTGTTTGTAGCCTTCCTTCCAACCCCCCAAAATACAGGTCTCACTTTTTGCATATCTAATTGCTGGCAGGCCCTCTGGCTTTTTCTGAGGTCCCCTTCCATCTTGCGTTCTTCTTGTTTGTTTTTGAATCTTATTCTGTTAAGAAAAAGTTGATGGATAAAACAAGCAGGTAGACAAACAGTGAGATGCATTATAGTGTACAGCTTTTCTAAAATAGAAAATATAAGATTCTAATTCTCTCAGCCCAGGACAACACTGAAGTTAAGAAATCCTTCTGACATGTTTCTGTGGGAGCACACATATACTTCTTAGGAATTATACCTTCAAGACAGTGCTTTTTTTTTTGATCACACTACTCTGAATGCTGTTTCTTCATCAGGATTTCATAAGACATCAAAACAGCAGTTAACTAAACATCTGCAAAAGACACAGCCTTTCCTAGGCTTTCCTTCTCCACATATAACAAGTAAATCAGGAGAAAATAAAACCAATAAAACCTAAACAAGTTTACCCTGATTTTTAAAACCATTGTAGCAACATTGCCCAGGATTATCTGTGGATTTTACACTAAAGATGACATAGTTCTCTGATTTAGAAAGCTGCAAATTACTTAAGAAAAGTTAGTATGTATATTGTTTGCATTATTAACATTTACAAAAATAAATGATACAGCACACGCTTTTATCATGACAATGTTCATCTGCTTTTGCTTTAGAACTGAGAAACAATTACTCCGTATTTCAACTCTTACCTCTCAGTCAAAACATTCAGAAACAGTAACACATTAAAAGAATAACCAAACTTAAAACATAAAAAGAATCATTGTTTAGATATTGCTTGGAATATCAGTTACATCATTTTACCTGAACTGATCTGCTGCTTGTTCATTTGCTTGTTTTTTCATATGGAGTTTTTGTCTATAGTTTTCCAGTTTTTCTTCAGCTTTTCGCTTTTTTAGTTCCTCATGACCAAGCCCACTTCTGCCTATGTAAGTTCAAAAGATGAATGTAAGCAGTTGAGAAGCTTGATATGCAACTAAGTAAATTAGGAAATATCACAAACCTCTTTTTATGTTCAGAGGAATAGGTTCAACAATACCCTCTCCTGTAAGGGAAAAAATAGGTCAATTTAAGAAATCAGGTCTTTCTAAAACTATGATTTGTGCAGTATATTCAAGTAAGCAAGCTGCTTTTTGCCATTAAATATGTACATTTTCTTGTGATTTTGTTCCTTGGAAGTTGAAAAATCCCACATCAATGTACATTTAGTGCAGTACAAATGACCCAGCTGAACTGGAACTCCCTCTCTTTTTTGGCTTGTCTTCTGGATTGCTATATACTTTTTTAGGACACTACCCAACTGAAAGGAAATGGTGTTGACTTGACAGGGGTAACATACTCGTGATGAAGACTGCTTTGTTACAGCCTTCTGTAGCATTTTTCATTCTAGAATCTCACAGCTCGACAAAGATGAAGAAGAAAAAGAATCTGTCTGGGCCAGTTCATTTGCTAATTGTGTGCTAGAGACATGCTGAACTGGCACAGCAATTATCGATACCTTTTTTTACGGATTTTACTTCATCTATTAAGGCTTCATAAGGGTAGGCCAGCGTGCACCATTTCTTCTTCAGAACCCAACTATAAATTCGGAGAGAGGGGTTTCCTTTTTTTGGAACACTATTAGCTTTGCAAGACCATCAAAAGATCCGTAATGCAATTCCTGTAGGCATGCACATACGGAGGTGCATTTACTGAGCAGAAAGTACTAGTACTGCTGCTTCCCTTGCATCTCGCAATAGCCCACACCATTTTTATTTCAGTTTTAGAGATTTGCTCTCATCTTTTGTTCTGCCAAAACACATTCACAGTTCAGTTACGCTAGGGCTCTCAGGGAGGCATTTACTGACCCTGTCTACAAATGAAGTGGCAGGTATAGTCTGTAAAATGCAAAGGTACACCGAATGCATTTAAAAGACTTGTAGATACGGTGCTTAGGGACACGGTTTAGTTGATGGCTGGACTTGATAATCTTAAAGATCTTTTCCAACCTAAATAATTCTACGATCTACGAATATAGGCACACACTTCCAGACAGCGACAAGCTTACCGCTTTTGCCAAGGGCCTGGCCGCTCTTGTAGCCCATCTTCTGGAGCAAAGCAAAGCCTTTGTTCTCAGTGCCCAATGCACTTTTCAATACCAGGTCGCGTCTCTCTTTTTCTTCTTCTTTTATACTCTTTTGTCTGTTCTTCTCATTGGCTTCTTTTTGCTTTTCTTCCTTCTGAATAGTTTCCTTCATTCGCCTCATCATGGGCAAGCCTGGCCTTACATCCTGTCTAAGAGTTAATAATTCCAGCAAATATTAGCACTCTTTTTTTTCCCAGTTTACAACCACGTAAGAGGCAAAAAAAAAAAGAGCCACCTACTTACTTAATAAATAAATCAGACATGTAGTCTTCCTCTTCATCTTCCTCCATGTTTAGCACGCACGCCCTGTTCCGACCCCTCTCCTATAAACACAGCCAACACGCTTTATCACGCGTTTTATTTCTCTGCAGGTTACCCGAAACGCAGAACCCGCTTTCAAGCGCAGAAACTGTTGCCGCTCAGGCCTGCCGCCCTCGGTACGCGGCCGGCGGCTGAAGGACGAAAACCCGTGAATGCGGCGGGTCCCGGCGGCGGGTCCCGGCGGCGGGTCCCGGCGGCGGACCGGGCCGCCCCC